AAACTTGCGGTTTTCTTATTGAAGATCTTAGTGCTAAAATATAATCTTCTTGGCTCAATCCAATGCGACTATCCGAAAGAAAATTTTGAAACGATTGAAGTTCGTCTTCTTGAAATATTGGTATATTTGCATTTAACAAATTATGTATCCTTTCGAAATTTTCTTTGTGCTTTTTGTGTTCTTCAGGATTTGTGTCTTCAGGTAACGGCAATAATATCTGTGTTGATGGCATTGGAGGATAAGGGATATTGAAGCGACAAAACTTTTGTCCTCTAATTTCACGTTGACATGTTCTGTATGATTGTGACGTTGAACATTGATGAAGGGTGTGACATCTGTATTAGATGAATCTGTGGTAATAAATTTGTCAATAAAATCAACTACGGGTTGAAATGTTGTGTTATCAGACAGGTTTAAATGAGGAGCTTCTCTTAGCCAGTAAATTCCATGCAAATGTGGAGAACCGCGTTGCTGAAATTCAATTCTCCAATAATGTCGTACAACCCAATGTTCATCAAATATACCTTCTCTTGATTTGAAGTGTTTAAACAAGTGGCGTATTCTTTGATCAAAATATCTGGAACATGTAACAGGATCCTTTCTTATGAGGTCATACTTTCTTTGGGTAGAGAAAGAATTTGCCTCCTCTTCAGAAATGTCGTTCCCCTCTAAAATTTTAACCAAAATCACTATCAATTCCGGCCATTGTGATTCTGCGGCAGACAATGTAATAAAGAATGTTGGCAGTCCGAATTGTCTAATCATTGCCAACACTTTTTTCTTTTCACTTTCCCAGTGAGCAGGAGAAGACCGAATACCTTTCAGAATGTGATATCCATCATCATGTTGTACCAAGTTTTGAACAAAAAGATCATCCAATACTTCGTTGGCCGTTATTTGTCTGGTCCCTAATTTCATCCTTAGACATGTAGAAATACTGTTCTTGATGCGAGACAACTCGAGCTTTTTGTAGGAATACAAAACCTTATCAACACGAGCGCATCGTCTATCATATCGCCGGACTTCCGATTTTATAATTTTACCAATTGTGGCACTACAGGTCCTTTTAATTCCACAATATATTGTAGGATACGACAATTCTTCTGAATCTTCATCCATCAACATATCGATTGGTCTTTGTCCCTCGCCCGGAGCAATTGATATACGTTGCAAAGGAAGATTTAACACTGGAATATTATCTAATAAAGTTTCCTGAGGATTATATTCCTCAACTTCATTTTGCAACGTGCAGTTATTTTCAAATCGGGACAGTATTTGTTGGTCTTCCCTATTGGACACAAACGGAATTTCTTCCGAGAAATTCATATTTTGAAGCCAATCATCGGATATAAGAACGTTGTGCTTTCTATACAACTGTGTGTTTGCAAGATACCTTGCAGCTTGGAAAATTTTGGTCGATCTAATTGTTTCAGTCATGAAACTATGCTCGTACATTAACCTGCGCTTCAGATAGACTTGTACAACTTCTGTTTGATCTATTGTTCTCGGAAGTACATTTACCGTTGAGGATAACTGAATGGGAACGTTAACCACAGCACCCCTTACACCACATTGACGGTTATAGCCAAGAGAAACTATTCTCATGAGTGGAATTCTAGGTGAAACGAATCTTTCTTCCAATGGCGTTAGTTCTCGAAGAACATTGGGAATTTCTGGAAAATGAAGTCCATTTGATAAACAAATGGACGGCACTTTTCCCCCGCTAACAATCTTGTGGCAAGTATTGCAAAATGCATACTTATTATCCTCTGAGGGAAATACTTCAGATAAGAAGAATACCTCATCAAGTGTCGGGTATTTTTGTAGTAAATTATTTTTCCTAATAGGTTTAATTTGTTTAGGGAACCATAGTCCCCCACAACAGATACAAATTTCAGTTGGACCCTGTCTGACATTTTCGTGAAAGGCATTTAATGCTCTTGACCTGTGTCGCGAAGAATCTACTTGTAGTCTCTCCATTCGTGATATCGGCGAAAGGTTCTGCCTTATTTCAGAATTTCTTAAAGACTGGCGAGTATTCTCGTTTATTCGATTTAGAGGATTCAATCGATGCAGACGCACTCGGCAATTTCTAATATTATTCCGATTGTTGTCTGCAATTGCAGTTACACGTCTAGCCTCTCGCCGTTGTTGTGTATTACGAACCTGCTCCACGACGCGGTATTCTATATTTGATCTTCGGCAAACATGTTCCTCAGTATTTCGAGCTTGTTCAGATGCACGATAGTCCTCATTTTCTCTCCGAAGTCGGTGACTACTTGCATCCCTCTCCCTTTCTACCTGTCGATAAATCTCTTCTTGCCTACGAGTCCTATGAGCATCCGTATTCTGTTCCTGTTCGAATATCCTATATTCTTCATTTTCCCTAAGGCGTCTGTGACTATTAGCATCCCTCTCCCTTTCTACTTGTCGGTAAGTCTCATCTTGCCTACGAGTCCTATGAGCATCCGTATTCCGTTCCTGTTCGAATATCCTATATTCTTCATTTTCCCTACGATTTCGGTGACTAATAGCATCCCTCTCCCTTTCTACTTGTCGGTAGTTCTCATCTTGTCTGCGAGTCCTATGTGCATCCGAATTTTGGTCTTGCTCAAATAAACGATACTCTTCATTTTCCCTAAGGCGTCTGTGATTATTAGCATCCCTCTCCCTTTCTACTTGTCTGTACGTCTCATCTTGCCTACGAGTCCTATGTGCATCCGTATTCTGTTCCTGTTCGAATATCCTATATTCTTCATTTTCCCTACGGTTACGGTGACTAATAGCATCCCTCTCTCTTTCAACTTGTCGGTAACTTTCATCTTGTCTGTTAGTCCTATGTGCATCCGTATTTTGTTCCTGTTCGGCTGCCCTATATTCTTCATTTTCCCTACGATTTCGGTGACTAATAGCATCCCTCTCCCTTTCAACTCGTCGGTACGTCTCATTTTGTCTACGAGTATGGTGTTCATTGGTATTCCGAATTTGTTCCACGCTTCGTATCAAAGAGGACCTTCTTCGATCTTGATGGGATATGCGATCCCTTTGTCGTTCTTGCTCCCTAAATTCGCGTTTTCGTCTCCTTTCTGCTAACGTTTGTGCGTTTCGAAGGCGGTCAGCAGTGACATTTTGTTCTCGGTAATTATTAAGTCTAACTGCCATTAATCTTTGTCGTTGCAAAGTGGATTGTCTACGTAGTCTGGGCATTATGGGTTTCACAAAAGGAATCGAAAATATATAATTATTATAATACTCACAATATAATATTAATAATGTTTATTTTTCACAACACGCACAATAATACACAATATATAAAATCAATACTGAATATTCTATTTTTTACAACACGTAACACTCTTTTACAAGCAACTATGCTCTATAACACACTTTTAAGTAATGATGCCTAAACAATAAGCAAACCAAATTTATACCTCACTTCTGTATACCTATATATAGATCCTGGAGAATGACCTAAATCAGGTATAAAAAATGTTTACCTGATCCCATGTACACGTGTTCCATGCAACGGTTACCTGGTAATAAATGGATTAAATCCTGGCTTAAAAGTAAATAATATATGATTACCTGTTTTAAAAGCAATCTTAGTATTAATAACAGGCGTACAGTTGCAAAACCTACCTAAAATACATGTGGGTCGTAAAATAATAAAACTGAAAAAACATGCAACAACAGTTTTGAATTCTGGGTTTGTAAAGACATGAGATATAATTACCTGAATTCAAGCTAATCTTAATGTAAACAAATGTATAGTTTTACATGTTCGGCCGTAAAATATGAAACTAGAACAAACATTTTACCCTTTAAAAGTTGTAACAATATTGTAACAGATTTATGACCACATGAATTCGATCGAAGCATAGCAAAATCGGTTGAAAACATGGTTTAAACTGCAAAAAATCTTAACAATTTATAACAATGTTTCGACATATCGGACTTAGACTATCTTTGTAAGCTTAACTTGTAGTACATTGAACCTTACAAAACGAATCAATATATATATATATATATATATATATATATATATATATATATATATATTATTAACTTTTAAGCCAGGATTTAATCCATTTATTACCAGGTAACCGTTGCATGGAACACGTGTACATGGGATCAGGTAAACATTTTTTATACCTGATTTAGGTCATTCTCCAGGATCTATATATAGGTATACAGAAGTGAGGTATAAATTTGGTTTGCTTATTGTTTAGGCATCAGTACTTAAAAGTGTGTTATAGAGCATAGTTGCTTGTAAAAGAGTGTTACGTGTTGTAAAAAATAGAATATTCAGTATTGATTTTATATAGGGTAAGTGTACCAGTAGTCGGCACTTTTAGGATTTTCGCGTTTTTAATCGCTCACCATTCTGAATGGAACTTTTCAATTATGACAAAGTTAATTTATTCAGATTCGAAATTTTGTATAGTTTTTGCAATAATAAATAAAGTTTTAATAACTTTTTATTAAATTTCATAAATTTGTAGTTTTATTAAAACAATGCTTTTTTGCCAGTAGTCGGCACCACTTGCCAATTGTCGGTATGGCATGTTCCAACAGTCGGCATACCATTTTTTTTGTAAGAATAATTAATAATAATAATAAATTAATTCATTAAAATATAATATTTTTGTTTAGTTAAACTGATTCGACGTCTTTATTGTACTTTTCTTAAGAATATGAATTGTTGAGGACCTTCACAGACAAAAATTTAATTTTTATTAGAATAAATCATCTTTTCTTAGCGAAATTGTACACAAAGATAGCTGACAATATATTTGAAGTAAACAAAATATATTTAGTTGTAAAAGTTTCATTTATTTGGGCTTAAAAATAAAAAGTGCCGACTACTGGGACATGCCGAACTTAGGCACACTTACCCTATTGTGTATTATTGTGCGTGTTGTGAAAAATAAACATTATTAATATTATATTGTGAGTATTATAATAATTATATATTTTCGATTCCTTTTGTGAAACCCATAATGCCCAGACTACGTAGACAATCCACTTTGCAACGACAAAGATTAATGGCAGTTAGACTTAATAATTACCGAGAACAAAATGTCACTGCTGACCGCCTTCGAAACGCACAAACGTTAGCAGAAAGGAGACGAAGCCGCGAATTTAGGGAGCAAGAACGACAAAGGGATCGCATATCCCATCAAGATCGAAGAAGGTCCTCTTTGATACGAAGTGTGGAACAAATTCGGAATACCAATGAACACCATACTCGTAGACAAAATGAGACGTACCGACGAGTTGAAAGGGAGAGGGATGCTATTAGTCACCGAAATCGTAGGGAAAATGAAGAATATAGGGCAGCCGAACAGGAACAAAATACGGATGCACATAGGACTCACAGACAAGATGAAAGTTACCGACAAGTTGAAAGAGAGAGGGATGCTATTAGTCACCGTAACCGTAGGGAAAATGAAGAATATAGGATATTCGAACAGGAACAGAATACGGATGCACATAGGACTCGTAGGCAAGATGAGACTTACAGACAAGTAGAAAGGGAGAGGGATGCTAATAATCACAGACGCCTTAGGGAAAATGAAGAGTATCGTTTATTTGAGCAAGACCAAAATTCGGATGCACATAGGACTCGCAGACAAGATGAGAACTACCGACAAGTAGAAAGGGAGAGGGATGCTATTAGTCACCGAAATCGTAGGGAAAATGAAGAATATAGGATATTCGAACAGGAACGGAATACGGATGCTCATAGGACTCGTAGGCAAGATGAGACTTACCGACAAGTAGAAAGGGAGAGGGATGCTAATAGTCACAGACGCCTTAGGGAAAATGAAGATTATCGTTTATTTGAGCAAGACCAAAATTCGAATTCCGACAAGTAGAAAGGGAGAGGAATGCTATTAGTCATCGAAATCGTAGGGCAAATGAAGATTATAGGATATTCGAACAGGAACAGAATACGGATGCTCATAGGACTCGTAGGCAAGATGAGACTTACCGACAAGTAGAAAGGGAGAGGGATGCTATTAGTCACCGAAATCGTAGGGAAAATGAAGAATGTAGGATATTCGAACAGGAACAGAATACGGATGCTCATAGGACTCCTAGGCAAGATGAGACTTACCGACAAGTAGAAAGGGAGAGGGATGCTATTAGTCACAGACGCCTTAGGCAAAATGAAGAATATAGGATATTCGAACAGGAACAGAATACGCATGCTCATAGGACTCGTAGGCAAGATGAGACTTACCGACAAGTAGAAACGGAGAGGGATGCTAATAGTCACAGACGCCTTAGGGAAAATGAAGAATATAGGATATTCGAACAGGAACAGAATACGGATGCTCATAGGACTCGTAGGCAAGATGAGATTTATCGACTGGTAGAAAGGGAGAGGGATGCAAGTAGTCACCGACTTCGGAGAGAAAATGAGGACTATCGTGCATCTGAACAAGCTCGAAATACTGAGGAACATGTTGCACGAAGATCAAATATAGAATACCGCGTCGTGGAGCAGCTTCGTAATACACAACAACGGCGAGAGGCTAGACGTGTAACTGCAATTGCAGACAACAATCGGAATAATATTAGAAATTGCCGAGTGCGTCTGCATCGATTGAATCCTCTAAATCGAATAAACGAGAATACTCGCCAGTCTTTAAGAAATTCTGAAATAAGGCAGAACCTTTCGCCGATATCACGAATGGAGAGACTACAAGTAGATTCTTCGCGACACAGGTCAAGAGCATTAAATGACTTTCACGAAAATGTCAGACAGGGTCCAACTGAAATTTGTATCTGTTGTGGGGGACTATGGTTCCCTAAACAAATTAAACCTATTAGGAAAAATAATTTACTACAAAAATACCCGACACTTGATGAGGTATTCTTCTTATCTGAAGTATTTCCCTCAGAGGATAATAAGTATGCATTTTGCAATACTTGCCACAAGATTGTTAGCGGGGGAAAAGTGCCGTCCATTTGTTTATCAAATGGACTTCATTTTCCAGAAATTCCCAATGTTCTTCGAGAACTAACGCCATTGGAAGAAAGATTCGTTTCACCTAGAATTCCACTCATGAGAATAGTTTCTCTTGGCTATAACCGTCAATGTGGTGTAAGGGGTGCTGTGGTTAACGTTCCCATTCAGTTATCCTCAACGGTAAATGTACTTCCGAGAACAATAGATCAAACAGAAGTTGTACAAGTCTATCTGAAGCGCAGGTTAATGTACGAGCATAGTTTCATGACTGAAACAATTAGACCGACCAAAATTTTCCAAGCTGCAAGGTATCTTGCAAACACACAGTTGTATAGAAAGCACAACGTTCTTATATCCGATGATTGGCTTCAAAATATGAATTTCTCGGAAGAAATTCCGTTTGTGTCCAATAGGGAAGACCAACAAATACTGTCCCGATTTGAAAATAACTGCACGTTGCAAAATGAAGTTGAGGAATATAATCCTCAGGAAACTTTATTAGATAATATTCCAGTGGAAAATCTTCCTTTGCAACGTATATCAATTGCTCCGGGCGAGGGACAAAGACCAATCGATATGTTGATGGATGAAGATTCAGAAGAATTGTCGTATCCTACAATATATTGGAATTAAAAGGACCTGTAGTGCCACAATTGGTAAAATTATAAAATCGGAAGTCCGGCGATATGATAGACGATGCGCTCGTGTTGATAAGGTTTTGTATTCCTACAAAAAGCTCGAGTTGTCTCGCATCAAGAACAGTATTTCTACATGTCTAAGGAAGAAATTAGGGACCAGACAAATAACGGCCAACGAAGTATTGGATGATCTTTTTGTTCAAAACTTGGTACAACATGATGATGGATATCACATTCTGAAAGGTATTTGGTCTTCTCCTGCTCACTGGGAAAGTGAAAAGAAAAAAGTGTTGGCAATGATTAGACAATTCGGACTGCCAACATTCTTTATTACATTGTCTGCCGCAGAATCACAATGGCCGGAATTGATAGTGATTTTGGTTAAAATTTTAGAGGGGAACGACATTTCTGAAGAGGAGGCAAATTCTTTCTCTACCCAAAGAAAGTATGACCTCATAAGAAAGGATCCTGTTACATGTTCCAGATATTTTGATCAAAGAATACGCCACTTGTTTAAACACTTCAAATCAAGAGAAGGTATATTTGATGAACATTGGGTTGTACGACATTATTGGAGAATTGAATTTCAGCAACGCGGTTCTCCACATTTGCATGGAATTTACTGGCTAAGAGAAGCTCCTCATTTAAACCTGTCTGATAACACAACATTTCAACCCGTAGTTGATTTTATTGACAAATTTATTACCACAGATTCATCTAATACAGATGTCACACCCTTCATCAATGTTCAACTTCACAATCATACTAGAACATGTCAACGTGAAATTAGAGGACAAAAGTTTTGTCGCTTCAATATCCCTTATCCTCCAATGCCATCAACACAGATATTATTGCCGTTACCTGAAGACACAAATCCTGAAGAACACAAAAAGCACAAAGAAAATTTCGAAAGGATACATAATTTGTTAAATGCAAATATACCAATATTTCAAGAAGACGAACTTCAATCGTTTCAAAATTTTCTTTCGGATAGTCGCATTGGATTGAGCCAAGAAGATTATATTTTAGCACTAAGATCTTCAATAAGAAAACCGCAAGTTTTTTTAAAGAGGTTATATAAGGACAGATCAATAAATGCATTTAATTCAACTATTTTGTCAATGCAAAGATCTAATATGGACATTCAATTCGTTTTGGATGCATATGCTTGCGTTTCGTACATTGTGAATTACATTAATAAGTTCAATAGGGGTGTTTCAAGACTATTGCAAGAAGCAATGAATGAAATCAGAGATGGGAATTATTCGGTCAAAGAAAGGCTGCAACATATTGGAAACAAATTCATCAATGCATCCGAAGTCTCCGCACAAGAAGCATCGTATAATGTACTTGGTATATTTATGTCACAGTGTAGCAGTGCCGAAGTTTACATTAACACATTTCCACCAGAAAAACGTGTCCGAATGTTAAAATCAAAACAAGACTTGCAGAATCTAGACAGAGACTCAACAGACATATTTAAATCTAATATTCTTGACCACTATGTTCAACGACCCGACATTTTAGAAAATGTATGCTTAGCATATTTTGCTGGCTATTACAGTTATTCTGCGAAATTAAGGAATTCACGGTCACAAAATGAGGAAGACGATGATTTTCTTGAATATGAAGATTCAGATCGTAATCATATTGGCGCACCTATCCGATTAAGAAATAATTCAGGATATATATACAAGAGGAGAAGCCCAGCTATAATACGATTTCCATCGTTTAACGTCAATAATAATAGAGACGACTATTTCCGGTCATTGGTGATGTTATACTTTCCATGGAGAAATGAAGTTAACGATTTATTGCAGAGCGATAATGAAAATACTTGTCGTGTTTATAAACAATGTATTGAAGAAAATAGAAGCCAATATTTAACGAAGGTGAACTTGACGAAATATTGTTGCAAGTTCAAGATGAACATAACGCAACCAACAACAACAATTTAAATGACAATGTAACTGTGTCCAAATATTAGATGACGAGTTTCGTGCTTTGGCAATACCCGAAATTGGCGATAATTTCAATGTTTTGGACGGTGGATTGTCTACGTAGTCTGGGCATTATGGGTTTCACAAAAGGAATCGAAAATATATAATTATTATAATACTCACAATATAATATTAATAATATTTATTTTTCACAACACGCACAATAATACACAATATATAAAATCAATACTGAATATTCTATTTTTTACAACACGTAACACTCTTTTACAAGCAACTATGCTCTATAACACACTTTTAAGTACTGATGTCTAAACAATAAGCAAACCAAATTTATACCTCACTTCTGTATACCTATATAGATCCTGGAGAATGACCTAAATCAGGTATAAAAAATGTTTACCTGATCCCATGTACACGTGTTCCATGCAACGGTTACCTGGTAATAAATGGATTAAATCCTGGCTTAAAAGTAAATAATATATGATTACCTGTTTTAAAAGCAATCTTAGTATTAGTAACAGGTGTACAGTTGCAAAACCTACCTAAAATACATGTGGGTCGTAAAATCATAAAACTGAAAAAACATGCAACAACAGTTTTGAATTCTGGGTTTATAAAGACATGAGATATAATTACCTGAATTCAAGCTAATCTTAATGTAAACAAATGTATAGTTTTACATGTTCGGCCGTAAAATATGCAACTAGAACAAACATTTTACCCTTTAAAAGTTGTAACAATAATATATATATATATATATATATATATATATATATATATATATATATATATATATATATATATATATATATATATATATATATATATATATATATATATATATATATATTTAGAAGTTCGTAATAGCTATATATATATATATATATATATATATATATATATATATATATATATATATATATATATATATATATATATATATATATATATATATATATATATATATATACCTATTACGAACTTCTAAATTAAATTGCAAAGGATTCTCGTGATAAGTGGGCTTAGAATCATGAAAATGTAAGTGGTAAGGTCATTAGAACCACATTTTGAGCCAATTTATGCATGTCGGTCCCTGCAACTAAAATTTCCCAAAAAATACTTGTTTGGCACAAGGACGAATCCTATTGAAATTGGTGAGAATAGTTCCAAAGTTGGATACAGCTCACATATATCTTCGTCCGATTTCAGGTATATTGTGCACCAAATGGCGCTTATTAGGCCAAATGGCCTGAATCTTGGTAAATCTGACCGAATTCAGCCTACAAGCAAGTACATCAAATTTAGTGAAAATCGGTTCACATATAGCCAAAGTTGCCTTATGCATGTTTCATCCGATTTCGTCTTTAACTCACGCACACTGCACTCCACTACCGTGATATTGGGACCAGATATCAGATACAGTCCAGAAATAGATATTTAAAATTGTATCGAAATCGGTTAAGAGTTTGATATAGGTTCCATATATATCATCATCCGATTTCGGGTTAACTGTGCACCAAATGACCAATATCAGTCCAAATGTCCTGAATTTTTGTACATCAGACCGAATTCAGCGTAGCAAGTACAATCATCATAGCAAGTACATCAAATTTTGGATAAAATTGTTCCAGATATAGCTATTGCTCCCATATATATGTTTCATCCGATTTGGTATTTAAGTCCCTCAAATTCGTAAAATACACGATACAAGAGTAATATTTGGTACCATATATAAGATACAGTCAAGAAATTTATGTTTTTAATTTTATAAAGATCGGTCCAGATTTGGTTATAGCTCCCATATATACCATTCAAATTTGCTCCCATATACATGTTTCATCCGATTTGGTGTTAAAATCTCAAACTTTCGGAATATGCACTCTGCTGTTATGATATTTTGTACCAGATACCTCATAGAGCTCGAAATGTCCAATATAAAATTTATGGAAGATCTGCATAGCGTTTTTGAGACCATAAATTACAAACAAACAAATCAAACAATTTCCTCATATATGTTTATCGTATTTATGTTCGTACTCTGACAGAAAATTATCTGCGCAGGTCTACGTCTTCTCATGGCCCCTATATGTCTGTACCTCTCTATATTCAGTATTTGCATGATTTTAACCACATTCACCGAAAGTGTTCAAAAATTTCGAATTTGAACCTATGTCAGAAAATTGTCTATGGAGGTCCATACTATGGTGGAGGGCAAAAAATATCCTTTGGTTAAAATCATTAAAATATCAAATATAGAGAGGTACTCTTATATTGAGGCTTTCCGAAGAAGTGGACCTGCATAAATATTTTTTTGTCGTAATCTGTAATATTCATTATGAATTTCAAATATGAAATTGTAAACAATTCTGGAGATTAATTTCTCTAAAGAAGTGGACCTGGAAATAACTCTAAAAATTATATTTGAAACATTTCCGAAGAATAATGTCGATAATCATCACAATACCGAAAATCGGGAGGTACCGTTATATGTCTATACGAAGACGTGGACCTATATCGCCAATTTTCAATACCAAAAGTCCGGCAGACATTATATACATCTGAGTAAAATTCAACCAGCCTACATCATTTCGTTCGAAAGCTACAATGATTTCCACAGAAGGACGGACATCGCTAAATCTACATAGAATCTTATGCTGATCAATAATATATATACTTTAAGGGGTTTAAAATGTATATTTCGAGGTGTTACAAACGGAATGACAAACTTCATATATCCTCCATACTATGGTGGAGGATATAAAAATACCTAATATAAGAGGGTACTCTTGTATGGGGCTATACGAAGACGTGGTCCTGCATAGACGGTTTTTCTGTTATAGGTAGTAGTACCCATTACGAACTTCAAATACAAAAATTTCACCGAAATGAATAATGTCGGAAAAACTAAAATACAGAATATCGGGAGGTACTGGAGGCTATACGATGACATGGACCAGCAAAGTTAATTTTCTGTTCTAGATTGTAGTATCCATAACAAACTTTAAATGCGAAGTTTGAGACAATTCCGTTGGAA